TTCTTCCTCCCAGTGCCTAATTCGTCCTGCATATGTTGATTCTCATGCTTTTACATCTTCAGTACAATTCTGTCTCCAACGGTCAGTGACGGGAGACATGAACTATCAAGTTTTAATTTTATCTGAACCCAATGGTTATTATTGACAAAACCAACAACAATGATTTTATGCTTTCTCGTTTACATATGTGGAGTTATGGTAAGAGGGAAAAATGTAATGTCAAGTTTCTGAGACAGGGAGGCAAATACGACATTGTACCTACTTGTAATATGGTAACCCATATCAGGAATTGACATCTATTTTTCTCTACCATGCACACCTAAGTGTTATATTTTTAAGGAATTCCTAACTTCAGTAACTATGTCATAGAACAAATTGGAAAACAATTTTGGGAGTTGATGAACTTAAGTATCCAACTGCGTCCGGACCAACGACCATGACTCTTCGCCTCATCCAAGTAAAGCTGCAATAGCCCGAAAATCACATTTTCCATCGTCACTCACATCAACAATGTCATCAATGTATGGATGCAAGAAACCAGGAAACTGAGCAAGTAAAGATGCCTCGAAGATACAGTGGACGATTGACTTTAACCAGGCATACTAGAAGGTTGACTTCCTGTTGGTTTAGGGCATGATCTCTTTGCAGTCTGACTCCCCTGCGAGCCTTCACCATACTCCCACTGTGAGGGATCACGATGCACATCACTCTCTTCACCATTTTTGCTCTTCTTAACTCCCCTCTTTGGCTTGTACTTCATCAGCGGTGGACACGTAGAATTTGTGGATGGATGTGTTAGTTCTCAAACCTTTTTCTTCAACGCCCTCTGGCATACATTATCCAAAGAATTGAAATATGTCTTCAACTTTTCATATTATGCCTCTAAATCCAGCATTGTGCCACTATCGTCATGACCGTTAGCATGCTCTTGAATATGTAATTTCTTCCAAAAAAACATGAATTGGTTCTAAAGGAGCAGACAAGTCTTGCATTTGAAAACCAGCAAGTTGACACACACAAGGTAACCCATGCGTAGTTCTAATGAAGCAACCACAAATATCCTTGCTTGTACTAGCAAATTTTACCCTTTCTAGCTCCTTCCCCGTGTGCTGTATACATTGCCTTGAAATAAAACCGTTGAAGTTGGCATAGAATGAAGTGTTATACTAATCCTCAATGTTGACAATACTTTCAGGTGTATTCTTTCTTTTATTATTTCCTCATCTCTCACAGTCCATAATCAATTTATCTTTCATACCTCGCTGGCCATTTGTCGTATCAGAACGAATAATCGCAACTATAATACTGTGTTGCATGCCAATATATTGTGTCCAGACTAATACTTCAGGTCGGTCCTCAAATATTTGTCGTTTACATTACATAAAACGTATAGTATAAATATAACGCAACGAAAATATTAAATTTTAACTTGTTACATAGAAAACATATTTTGTCTGTGGTAAAAAACCGCGTCAAATCGCTACACGAATCCGTAGATGACTTTGCCGGCTCCGGACCACACAAAAAAAACATTTTTTGACTTATTGCTCTCTTATAAAAAATTTGAGTTGCAGATGAAATTTCCGAAAATACTGGGTATAAAAAATTTTAAAAAATTTCAATATGATTACTAAAAGTCTATGTTACTCACCTAATATTTTCAAATTTCTAATTATATATATATATATATATATATATATATATATATATATATATATATATATATATATATATATACACGTGAATTTTTAAAATTTAATAATACATAATAAAATTTTTAAAAATACTACCGAAAATGAAGTAAAACTTTATTAAAAAATAATTATTATTTTTAGATAAATATTAACCACGGTATTTTTAAAATATTAAAAATATGGGGTGATAGGTATGGAATTGGGGGTGCCAGATTAATTTTTTTTTTAAGGCAATAGAGAGTGGCAGTTTAATTTCTCCAAGGATTTAGGAGATACTTCAGCTGGCCACGTAACCAAGGAAAACCGCCTTAAACAGAATACAATCCTATTTTTATTTTCGTCTTCTCCTAATACGTATCATTTTTATTTTCCACAATAATATTCCAACCCCCAAAAAATAAACGGAAAAGAAAAAATGCTGAGAATCGCAAAGAAACTCGTGGGAACGGCGTCGTTTAAAACGCCGATTCCAGCCGTTAGGGTTCTTCCACGATTCTACCACGAGAGGGTGGTGGATCATTACGATAACCCCCGGAATGTTGGATCCTTCGATAAGAACGACCCCACAGTAGGTACTGGTCTTGTCGGAGCACCCGCGTGTGGTGATGTCATGAAACTCCAGATTAAGGTTGACGAGGTCACCGGGAAAATCGTCGATGCTCGTTTTAAAACCTTTGGATGTGGATCCGCCATTGCTTCCTCATCCGTCGGTAGGTTGTTTTGTTTTGATTGTTTGCGAGAGTAAACGGTAAAATTCGGTTTTTATTTAGGGTTTGGGCTTTGTTCCTTTTGTGGTGTTTGAATTTTTATTTTCTTTTTTTATCTAGTCTTCTGTTCCTCCTCTGGAATTTGATGGTTGCGATTATGATGTTGCCAATTGTTATTATTATTATTATGTTTCTAATTCTTAGTCTTTGGCTTTGCAGCTACTGAATGGGTTAAGGGAAAGCAAATGGAAGAGGTTTTAACCATTAAGAACACGTAAGTTTCAGAAACTTTTGTTGCAAATTTGTGTTTTGGTTCTGGAATCAGTTTGTATTATATGATTTAGTTGTTTATATTGAATTTTTTTTTGTACCTGTCATTGTGTGAAGAATAGTTCTACTCTTGAGAAGGTTGGGTATTCATAAAAGTAACAAATCAGAATGTTGCCATAACAAGCATGGAGACAGTTCTGAGTTATAGCAAGTTTTCTTTATTTTTTCCTTTTCCTTTCCCTTTTTCTGCAAAGTTAAAATTTAAAGTTCTAGGCTTTATATTTCTTCACCTTCAGCAAACAAGGATACTGGTTGGTTGTAGAATTAACATATTTGGGTTGTTTAATGGTTGGTGTTGGAAGATTTGGTTTTGTTCTTTTCATGAATGATATTTTGTTGGTGTGTTTTGGGCCTTTTCCATTCAAAATTGTATTTATCTAGAATCGTGCCTATCTCTAGAATTTAATCTTACAAGGTGATTCTAGCTTAAGCAATGCTTCCATGACTAATAGTTTTGGTCCTGTTAGTTTTTGAAGTGGCGTGTTATTAATGTCATGCAGTGAGATTGCAAAGCATTGCTTAAGAATATTTGCATCTTTTGCTGTTATGTTATGGACCTTTTGGTTTCTGCGATGTGCCCATCTCTAGGATTTAATCTTTCTAGATGATTCTAGCTTAAACAATGCTTCCACGACTAATAGCATGTTTCTTATTCTTGTTCTTATCTGCTTTTGTATGATGACTAGTTAATGAATTATGGATCTATTGGACCTTTTAGATTCTGAGTCATGCTTATCTCTCAGATTTAATCTTACTAGATGATAATTTTAGCATAAGCAATGTGTCCATGATTAATAGTTTTGGTCTTATTAGTTTTAAATTGACACATAATGAATGTTCTGCAGTGAGATTGCAAAGCATCTTTCACTCCCACCAGTTAAGCTTCACTGCAGCATGCTTGCTGAGGACGCAATAAAAGCAGCTGTTAAAGATTATGAAGCTAAAAAGGCCTCTGCGGCTGCTACTGCATGATTTCTTCCATTTCTTGAATGATGATGGAAAAAAGCATTAGTATGGTCGATTGCACGTCATTAAGACATCTTTAGTCAGACTTTTCTTGGTTGAAAGTACACTGACATATTGTATTCTCATGAAGTCAAATAAATACTTGTACTGCTGGCTATAGTTTGTTATTTGCATGGTTTGTCTGTAGGAATCCTATAAATATATTTTTGTTCAAATATGTACACAATACATCTGAGTCTGTACATGTAATATTTTGAAATCCACGGCTTCATGCTTAGTAAGATGCACAGCACCATATTATTTTTACACGGTTTTATATACCAACCATATTTTTGTGATAGAAACCAGGTGTTTTATTAAGAACATACATGGAAGTACACGGTTTTATATACCAACCATATTTTTGTGATAGAAACCAGGTGTTTTATTAAGAACATACATGGAAGAACTCTGAATTACAGAAAAATAACACACCAGATATTCAAGGGTCAAATGTCTGCGTAGTGTATACCCATTCCTCTCCATCCATTCTCTTATTTGCAGGAAACATGCCTTATTTTCTCAACTAGCAACAATTGGTTAGAACATGCCTTAATTTCTCAACGTTTATTAGAACATTATGATTGTTCTTGTTTGCAAAACCTCATTGGTACCACTTAGCTAAACATATCGGTGTATATTGAGACAAGGTCTTATACGTTAAAATATGATTTTTGCGAGCAGAACACATCAGTGTACATTGAGATAAGGTCTTATAAGTTAAAATATGTTTTTGCTCAGGATTTTGAATTTTTTTTATCAAAATAATCCTCTTTTTTCAAAAATATTTATAAAATAACCCATACGTTTCAAATAATTTTTTAAACTACCCCAATTTTAAAAAAAGAGAATAGAAAAAAGAAACCGGTAAGAGCATGGGTGTTAAACCAATTGACGATTGCACCTAAACATTAAAAGGAGACGCAATTAGATTGAAATCAACACCTATTGTCAATTTAATTGGTGCCTATGTATAAAATTATAGTGACAATTGGTTTGGCACTGTGTGTGTTGTGCTATTTTAGTATAAATATGGGTGTTTTTTGCCATTTAAACGCCGTATTTTTTATTATAATTTTTTTTATATTGTTAGTAGCTCTATCTTGATGGAGACATTTGATGCAGACATCATATTCTTAACGTCATTGTTATCTCTAACTTGCATCCACATTTGCTGCTCCATCATATGATAGAGCTACTATTAATAAGATCATATGATAGAGCTACTATTAATAAGAGAAGAAAAAGATTATAATAAGAAATGTGGTGTTGAAATAGTAAAAGACACCTCTATTTATACTAAAAATAATACAACACACACGGGTGTCAAGGCAATTGGTGTCAGCACTATAACTTTACACATAAGCGTTAATTGGATTGGCAACACTAGGTGCAGACTCCAATTAGTTTGACACCAATGTTCTGACCAGTTTTTTTTGGAAAGGGGTAGTTTGAGAAATTATTTGAAATATGGATTATTTTGAGAATTCTTTTTGAAAAACTGGGTTATTTGAGTAAAAAAAAATCGAGTATTTTCGGGCTATCTTCAGTTATTGCTCATATGATAATGCATATCACTTGAAAAGAGGGACGAAACATATTTCACTTGGAAATCAACTAAATGAATATTATGATCATGTTAGCAAGATCACGGTAAATATCATATATGCTCTGGTTTTTGCAAATAAGTTTATTTTGTTTATTTAGTTTTGTAGTGTACTTCTGGTTTTTGATAAAAGATAGATTTTGATGAAGTCTCTCATCTAACTGGCTGTATGTGTGGATTGTGCAAGTCGTCTCCTAACTGGCTGTATTCACCCTACGAGATATATCTTCTCGAGCATGAGATGGAAAAAGGAGTTCATTCAGATATGTTTATTCCCAAGTTATCGTAGACACAAATTTGCTATTTTGCATGCTGCTTTGGAACCATAATTATAATTATAGTGGAATTTACACATTTATATCTGGGGCATTCCTTCATTCACCCTACGAGATGAGAGTGAACACATTGAGCATTAAAATTTGTTTTTTTTTCTTCATATTTTGGAGATACATTTTTGAACCCACATAAAAGGCACACAAAACTTTATAAGTGAGTCATCTATCTTTTATTTGTCAAAATATGGTTCGGAGATGCATATACGAAATCACCCGAAAACAATTACGTAAATATATATACGAAATCACTCAAAAACAATTACGGAGATGCATCTCTAGATTAATCTCTGAAAGCACTTTGTACTTCATAAGTGAATTATTCACTTCAGATTTTTCAAGAAATGGTATGGAAATACATCTTCGTAATTTGTTCAGGATTATTCCATAGATGCATCTCTGGAATAATATCTTAAAGCATTTGGCTCTGTGGTGGCTGGTATGTTCGGTTAACGTTTGCTGCAGGAAGGTCGGAAATTGGTTGTGTCAAATTTAAGTTGTGTTTTTGTTTCATCAGTGGAATTTTTTCGGCAGAGTATGTAACACCTTAATTTCCCCCGCGCAATTATAATTAAAATCAGAGTAAAATAAAAACAATCATACAATTAGAATGCCACATCCAACAACAACCTCCTGCTCATATATTTCGATATGCAACACATATAGTAATTAAAGAATACAACATAAGTTTGAACTTCAATATTTTGTTAAGCAGCGGAAAACATCACAACTGAATAGTTAAACTCTTCCAACATAACTATAACAAATGTAGTTATTAGAAAATTATCAACAAAAGAGATTCACATAACAATCTCCATCAACATAAAATTATCCAACAGCGGAGGTATGCATATAGTTTCCTCCCTACATAAACAAAACAAGCATTGATCCTCAATGTTACATATCAGAGCAGACACCGACTCGACAAAAGCATAAAAAAGAGTAGTCTTTTCTACTAACATTCACACCTTCAATGTGGATCACCTGCGCGTTACCTACGTGGAGGCAACATTCAAACAGAAGGGGTGATATATCATAATTATATAAAGGAATGTATAATAATAAGCGAGTAACAAATAATTATAATCACAACATACATTCCAACAACATATTCCACACCACCAACACAACAAAACCACATGAATGTAATGCAATGAGACTCAACAATTTGACTCAATGCATGTGGTACCAAAATGTGAACTCTCAGGTTCACCACTTCGGTCCTCACCTAGGACCGAAGCTCACCAAATGGACCTCTGCTCAAAATCGTTACCAAGTAACACTTCACTAATCCATCACCATAGAAATTAGTTATTCGCACCCAATTCACACAATGGGATTGAGCTTCACCTAAAACTCGTTACCATCACCATATGTAATGCTTCACTAATTCCATCACCATAGGAATTAGATACTCACACTCAATCCATCACCATAGGATCGAGGCTCACCAAATATAGACCTCTGTCCAACACCATGAATGCATGCAATATATTATGCATACAACACAACAACACACACAAAGACATTCACCATAGTCAATGTACCTCTCCACTACTGGCCACCATGCACCAAACACCCACCAAAACATGCAGCAACAGCAACACAACGATATAGCAAGTAATAATAATGCATTTGCACACGTTCCACAAAACAACATAAACTCAATATGCATCAAATACATGCCCACACATCAAATAATTTGAATTCTGGTACAAAAATTAATTTTAAGTTAAAGTACATTATACCAGCTTTCCAACACTTCAAACGACGCGTCAATCGAACACCCGGAACTAAAGTTATCAATTTTTGAAGTTTTTATAAAAATTTTGACACAACGATGTAACGGGTTACATCAACTATGTAACCAATTACATCAATCCCAGAAAAAAAATATTCAGTTTTTCCACAAGGCAACCAGTTACATCATCCATGTAAAATGCCTAGAAAACACGTTTCAATGTAACATGCCCAAAAGTCCCATTTTTTAATGATGTAACCGGTTACATTAGTGAGGTAATCAGTTACATGTGTTGCGAAATCACTTTTCTACTACTTTTTGACACGAAAATTACTTTTTCCCAATACCCAAACATCTCAAACTCTCACATAATGCACATTCCAATTTCTAAATTTCAACTCCTATTCACATACATCATTAACAACATTCTAACACACTCAATTTATCCCTACCACATACAATCACATAGTCCACATTAATTAATTCACACCAACGTACATCATCATAAATATACAATTTTTCATTATCGACGTGCATCCAATTTCATCAAGAAAACATAATTTCACAATTGAAAGGTTTAGAACATATGAGAGGATTCATTTTTAACAAGCAAATCAATTCCTACCCACAAACCATTATACAAACTCTTAGATAATCAGAACTCCACTTTTACCTTAAAGTTCTTGCAAACTTTTCTACCTCTTAACAATGGTGGTCTCCTTTTCCCTTGAGTCCTAACTTCCTCTTCTCACTTTCTGACAGTTTTCTATCCCTAAAACCCCTTTTCTTCTTTTATTATTTTATTATTACTATTATTTACTTCCACCAATTATAATAATACTAATATTAATAATAATAATAATAATACCTATTTATTTAACTAATTAAATCAAATAATACCAATATATATTATCTAACTAATTAATTATTAACTAATATTGCTAATTAGCTTCACTCACCACACCACCCATCTCTACACTATTACTCACACACCCTCAACACCTAAAATTATATTTTCTAAGGCTACCACCCTACACCAAAGGGCTCTGTCATTCCCCAAAATTTACCCTTAGATTCTTTGATCTTTTGAATATCATTCTAGGTCAATCATATTGCATAACTAAACAGATTATCAATCTTTGTGATGCTTTGTTTCACCTTTAGAATTAGAGTTTGCTTCAAGAGACTTCAGACAAGCAGTCCTCATACTCCTAAGAGACCTCTTTTCCTCGATAATCCATTGCAATATGGATACATCACAAGTTCTTCGAGGCTCAGGTCTTATGAA